TCTGGGCGTCTCTGCCTCTCACTAAGAACAAACATGTAGAGGGCTCTTAACTTTTTGATCTTTGATTCCCTAACCAGGGTACCCTGAGTATTCCCGACTTGTTCGTTTAAAAGCGAAGCTAAACAGTTTTGCTAAAGTACTTAGCATATTAAAAGGTCTATATTGCATGAGTGCACAACACCTTCACCATTCACTAGGGCGCACGGAGAACCAGTTGTGTGCATTTACAATACTCTGATTGATTGTTGTTTCTCGTTACCAACTTATATTTATGGAATATTTATGGAATAAGTTATTTGCCCTCTGATATTACCACTCACCTCCCCCTTTACAAGTAAGCATGTCTGACTGGGAATGATGTGAATAATTCCTAACTCATACTATGTGATTGTGGACTTAATGAAACCTTTCACAATCTTGAAAATATTTCGAGGATATACTATTCTTCCGAGAACTTCTACAAAGAAAACCCCGTCTTTGACTTATTTCTTTTGCCCGACAGTTCCATTCTTCCTTTGGAGGGAGTGAGGGAGACGGGTGGAGAAACGTAAGACTCAGACGGTAAATCAATAAAGATAGGCTTAGTTTTCAGGGTACATCTTAAGATAATTATCTTCACCTATACAAATTGATCATGTATACACCGGCACAGCCGACTTCATTTTACGGGTTTTTTTGACTGTGTTTATTATACAAGTCAACAGACGTCTAACTTATATACTAAACTGCCAGCTTCATATCTTCTCATTTTGATGGTATTTCTTTCTTTCTCTTTCTCTCTCTCTTTCTCGATTCACTTCACTGTTATCATTACATTCACTTAGTTCGTAAGCTATCTGTAGGTATTGAATTTCTTCGATTTTCACGTTCATTTGTGCCGAGAATAGTACTGCCTGTGATGTGAATTTTATTGCTGATATATAAAAATTAGTTTTATTCAAAAAATGGCGCGTACGGAAACCAAAAAAAAAGTAACTAGAAATCACATCAAAGAAAAAGAAAACAATATCACTGATTACGCAGAGATACACTCACCACTCAAACGCATAATTCGAAGACGACTCGTCCTACTGCAAAATTTATCAGTCCAGTTCGTCAAGAGGATTACAACTCGGCCAGCTTGTTGCGTCCACTGCTTGTCTACAGATAGGACAAGTATTGTGCCGCCTTAGCCACGGCAATATGCAGTCTTTGTGGAAGATGTGTTGACAGTCTAGGATCGCTACTGGTTCGTCCTGAAAAACACACATCCACAGAAATGATAAATTAACCGATTTTAAATTCTATGACAAAGGTTACATTTCTCAGAAAGGTCAGAATTTTTCGGCTGATAAAAGTAAGTGCTGTCCCTCATAACTACCTCAAACAGACGGAGCAACAGAATAAGTTACAACAGAATAAGCAACAGAACGGAAGAATAACTTCTTAAACAGT